AAATGCTGAGTGGCCCAAGATGGTGTTTCCTGATGCACTCTTTCCAGAGCCAGTTTTTCCAACCAAAAAGAGAGTCCGCTGCTTTGAAAAGCCTGTGAAAAGAAATTCAGAAATTTCTCCAGTTGTCAGTGTTACACTATGCTTTTTTAGGTATGTATATAAACAATATCTGTATCAGCAATATACTGGATGTTTATGAGCTACACTTTCTGAAATATGCTACCAAAACATATTTTCACAATATAATTGTTTTAGAAATTATTTCTGACTTTTTTATGCTTTATCTTGTACACCAGGTGGGCAGAGTAATTTGAATGAATATGACGGTGATACACACAGGTGGGTGTGATTATTTTATTTATTATCCTAATGTTTCTGCTATATTTCTTGTTTTTCCTTCCAGGCTGTAAGTCTTCCTCCTTCATGTTGGCAAAAACAAGAGCAGCACCAAAGACACTTCACCATCAGTGATCACAAGACCATCCATAGCTGCTTCTAATGAACTTTCAAAGCACACTTCATCTTCAGTGCAAAGTACCATGAATGTATGACCTTTGTTGTATATTGCTGTCAGTGCTATTTGATGCTTTGAAATAAAAGTAGATTACATACCGCAACTGGTGCTGGTGTTTTTGTAGCATCTAATGTCTTAAAATGAATTTGGAGATTATTGATGGCCAATAGTTTCTGGGGTAAAAAAAGGTTTTAATTGCTCTAGGTTTTAATTGCTCTAGTGGCTTTTGTTTGGTAGTAAATTGACAAAAAAAGTGAGTAATGAGAGAAGGGGAAGACTGGGAAGTGAACTCACGACAGCCACATTGAAAACTAGAGCCTCCATATGTGGGTTGTGCTTAACCCCTGCGCCACCACAGTGAACCTTGCCAGTAGCATTTCAAAACTCAGATTTCTATGTTAATATATACTTTACACCGTTGTGTTACATTAACACGTTCATAGTGTTAACTTTTGACAATATACACTAATTGTTGGGTAGATTTCAACTACTGAGTGTTGATTCAACACTATCACAAATAATACTTTCAAAAGTGTAACTTCTACACCATCCATAGTGGACCAATATAGACACTTTCAAAGTGTTGAATTTAACTCTGTAGGAGTTGATGGAACACTTCCAAAATTGCTGTGCAACATTTATAGCTTTTATTTATTTTTTATCCATGCGAAGGAATGGAGTTTAGAGATTATTTTAAACAACTAGTTGAATCATTTGTCTATTACTGTGTATTATAATCCTGCTTTATTTTGTTCAGTTTAAACACAGTGTGTTATTTTAATCTCACCTGAGCTTTGAGACTGGCAGAGAGCCATGAGTCCACATAATGCAAACACCAAAAGGTGGAACCAAGCACGGTTCCAAGCCTTCCCATCCAACATCACAGGATCACAAGTTTCTGTCAAAACACAGTTATATAAAACTGTAAATTGAACACAATCACAATTTAATTGAGCCTTTGAAAACTGATGACATAGCAAAAAACGCTCTTCAGGCCTGCATAAAAAAGGACACATCACAGGCTGTACTGGGAAACTGAAACAATCCAGCACTGGTGTTCACTGAACAGTAAGACAACACGTGTAATAAACAGACAACATCTCTCCAATATATGAGTTTAGTAACAAAAATAATATAACCTTAAAGTTAAATACTTCAGTCAACAAACTCATTAAGTTTTCTGGATGTTTGCATTCTTGCTCAGGTGTACAAAACTAAAATCCAGATTTAATACAGTTGCTGCAGTTCACCAAGATAAATACTAAACCCTCTTCTACAGACACCGTTACTTGACTACAGTGTAAATGTTGACTAGCTGCAGAAAAACCGTCATTGATTTCCTAAACTTTCTTCTGTCTTCTTCTTCAGTCTCTTCCCTCGCACAATATTGGTCCCTTATCAGTTTTCCTCCACCATAAACAAGACATCAAAATATGCTCCAACCTACTATTATGAATAAAAAGCTGATAATATCATAGCATACCACGACAAGCTTCAGTGGCTTCGGATCGCTGAAAAGTCCCGGAGTAAATCAGAGAGAAATGAAAACCAGACATGCGCGATGTCGCGAAAGCAAAACTGAAACTTAACATTTCACATTACTACCGTGCTTATTTGGGTCAGACAATGACAAGAAAACTCGGTTTCCAGCTTCTCAAACAAAACTTGAGTTTTATCGGAGAATGGCGCAGCAGCAGAAAAATTTAGCTGATATATTAAAAAAAATAAAATAAAAATCCCTTCTCACCCTCCGCGGGTGGTCTCTTTCATCCTCTGAGCGGGTCCTCTACCAGA